TAAGAGATATTAATTCTGTACGTGAATGATAGTAATGTAAAGAAAACTACTACTACAACTTCTACTACTATTTAAGCGACTATGACTACTACTACTACAGCTTCTACTACTACTAATTCTTTTGCTGCTGCTACTACTACTACTCCTACTACTACTTTTTCATTGTGGTGATATGATTATTATTGTTATTATTATAGTTGATCTTTTTATTATTATTATTTGTCATCTTCACTGCTTCTATAGATATAATGGCCTATTTTTATGACAATAAAAAGATAACAATCACTTGTTTTTTGTTTATTATTATTATTGTTGTTATTATCGTTATCCATAATTATATAATTATTCATATATATATTACTATTATTATTATTTGTTATATTACTATTATTATTATCGTGGTTGATTTTGTAAAAACAACTTTTGAATAAATAATATTTATGTAAATTTGTATGTATTTGTACATATGCAAACGTATATGTACCTATATATATATATATATACACATATATATATTTCATATATATATAATTAGATTATCCAATTCTATATGAGCGCTATTGAAATAAGCGTTTTGTACAGGTCAAATACAATAACTGAATGTTAAAAGGTTTTTTTGTGGGCTGTCGTCTCGTATCTCAATGTGTGGAGAATGAATAATTCTGTCATTTAGAGCAAGGTGTTGACAACTAGTAATAACTAACGCAACTTATCAAAGAAATGTTATTTAGAGAAGAGCCAAAGTTAAAGCCTGCTGATACAATCTTCGTTAGCGTCCAGAGGCCCAGTTCCCCCGAGGTTTTCTTTGCCATCAATTTTTGTGCCAAATTAGACGATCAGTTGTATCCATTTCGTTTAAATTTAGAGCTTTCATGTCTTGCTCGATTGTTTGCGACCAGGACTTCTTTGGACGTTTTTGGGACGTGTGCCAGGTACTTTAAAGCTTGCTGATACGCCGATGATATATTCGTTAGATACGATGAAGATGATCAAAATGAGAAACTTCTACAACCGCTACATCCGTCAAAATTGAAGTTTTGTTTATAATTCAATAATCTCGCGCAATGACAAATTCGAAATGCCGTTTAGACGTTCGTTATAATTATGACGTCATCGTAGATGGTAGACTTCTTTGTTCATGCTTGGAATCATTGGAATTGAACTATAGTACTTGAGATGTGGACATTGGTAGGAAGGCGTTTGTGTCTATTTTTTATTCTTATAGCTCCCTTGCGTCATCTGTATGTCAATATTCATACACCTGACCGAAGGTTGCTGTATCGCGTTATTTATATCAAATGTGTGCGTCATATTTAATTTTCATTCCGGTAAAATTCTCAATTGGAATAGAAAAAAACGTATGAGCAAATGATTTGTTACTAAAGTTCTACGGTCTAATGCTACGTCACACAGTTCTTGTTGGCGTAAAATTTTCAAGTTATTCATTCATCCATATGTTATATAATACATTCAAATTTTGGTGTTTGTTACGTAAGAGCCAGTTAAGTATTTATTTATTTTCACAAAGTTGGTTAGTTCTGTGCAAAACTCTTTTAAACAATCAAAAATATTGTTCTGTCATGCTTTAATAACTCGTTGACACAACATCGGATGATTGTATGTTCGAAGCACCTATTGTTACAGAAAACGATGATGTTGCTTTTTTTAATGGGTTCTTATTTCATCTTTATATTTTCAAGATTATATAATTTCTATACGATTTCTATTGTTATTTAAGCCTTAAAAAATAGCCTTTAAAAATATATGTATTTTTAGAGGCTTAATTAACAAAAACACAGAGCACATCTTAAACATTACACTATAATTTGTACAATAAAAAGTAATTATTATTAACAATAAGTGAATTGAAATTTTTAGCAGTCGTCATCGTGGAAGTTCTTGTGCACGTGACGGAGTTCCAGTTTAGTCTGTTTGTCCTTCTCGTTGAAATCATCGTAGCTCGGTCGCCTCCTTCTCAGCTGCTCTCTCGTTAAACGTAATCTCTCGTTCGATATTCTGGACTGTACGTGTGTGTGTGTTTGTGTGTGTGTGTTTGTATGTTATGCGTGTGCGCTTGTTTTAATTAATGAGTGTGTGTAGATGAAATCAATGATTTAATAGTGATAATTATATGGCTTACAGGTAGTTTGAAAAGAAATTGGTCGATATTTAATTTTTAAGGGTGTCAAGACACAATAACGAATCCACATGTGAATATGCGTGAATTTGCGCCACACACGCACAACAAGCGGAGATAACTCTGCCCTCCAACCAAGTCAGAAACCTCAACCATTACCGACCTACATCATCGCACAGCTTGTCTATTACATTATTTAATGGTAATAATAGATGGATGTTTGGCACCTTTGAGTGTAATTAAAAACGTTGTACAAATAATCCGATAATAATAATAATAATAATAATAATAATAATTATTATTATTATAGATAAATTTTTCAAAGCAGAAATTATTTTAACGTTTATCAAGTAGGTGTCCCTTTCTTTCTGTAACATTTCAAGCCTCTGTTGATAGGATTGGATCGATTGAATGATTGAATTCGTGGCTTCAATTCGTTCGTTTTTTATTCTGGTTCGTAATAATAAATAATAAATTAATACGGAAAATAAATAAACAAATAAATAAATAACAATGGTTATAATAGTTGTTATTATAGTTGATAGATTGTAATAATTTTTCGTGTTTACTTGTTCCACAGTTCTGAATGCCTGGAAAATCTTCGATGGTTCTCCCTACCTACCGAGTTTCTGCGTCTTATAAAATGCTGCTTCGATATTAAGTCTGATTTGTTTTGCATCTGAAAAATGATTTTTGTTTTTTCGTTTTATTGTTCATTTGTTTGTTTGTTTGTTTATTCATTCATTTGTTTCTTCCTTCAATCATTCGTTTGCTTGTTGATTCATTTGTTCGTTCGTTTATTGTTTGTTAATTTCTCTTTTTTTCATTCATATATTCATTCAACCATCCATCCATCCATCCATCCATCCATCCATTCATCCATCCATCCATCCATCCATCCATCCATCCATCCATTCATTCAGTCATTCCATCATTATTCATTCATTCATTCCATCATTCATTTATTCATTCAAATTTCGTTAACTCGTTTTATGGAGGAATTACGATTAAAAAGTAAATGTTTTTAAGAAAAGCAAAGACTTTGTGAAAAAAAAGGGACAATGGTGTTGACGTTGAAAAGGAAGAAGAAGAAGGTAATAAAAGATCATAAAAATTACAAACAATTTCAAGATAATGCCCATATTGGTCTTTCCAATCCCTTTGCTTTAGTTCCATTACCTCTCGCCTGTTCTGCTTTTGAAGCATTTTCCCTTCAGTTTCCAACCTTGAATTGATAAATTAAAAAATTAACAATATTTTTATTAATATTCATTAGGAACTAATATTAAACAGCGAAATATTATTTTGTTTTCAAAATTATATGCATACAAACATACTGAAGGTTCTCTCTGATGTATGTGATGCAGTTGATGGCGGAATTATTGCCACGATTGCCCTACTTGAAGTTAATGCGGCGTTTGATGCAGTGGTTCATGCAATATGATGTCTTATTGAATGGACTCAAAATATCCTACTCTATAAACGGACCAGCTCTGGATTGGTTTTCATCGTATCTGTCATCAAGGACTCAAATGGTGATCGTTGGAATGAATGAAGGATCAGATGTGGCTGGTTCAGAATTGACGCGAGGAGTTCCGTGAGGATCGGTAGGTCCACTTGGTCAGTTGTTGTATGTGCTACACACAGCTGATGAGCCAATTTATTTCTATAGGACTGTCTTCAATCAATACCAAACGCGGTAGCAAGAATGACAGCCGGCCCTTCAAAGTCTCACTCCATTTTGGTTTCCATGCCTGATGAGCTTCATTGGTTGAGATAACGCCTAAGGATTAGGTTCAAAATCGCTCTTTTGGTCAGAGACTGTTTGACTGGTGATGCATCGGTCTGTTTGAGTGAGCAAGTGATGCCGGTTTCAAAGGCACATGGACGTAGTCAACTTAGATTCAGCCTGTGGCAATTTGGTCATCCCGTCAATCAGTTCCTCAAATTTTGGACGACGAAGATTTTCTGTTGTGGCAGCTGGAATAAGGAGCTCGCTTCCTGTGCAGTTAAAAGATGGTTCCATCACAAGTCGACAGCTTTTCAAGAAAGCTTTAAAGCATCATTACTTCAACTTTGTGCATCATAGAAAGAGCTTCTGAAGTCTTTTCAGGAGAGGTGGTATACAAATTTAGATACTGATACTGATACGCCCAAACACGTAAATGGATACATGGATAACATACATCATAACGATTATTAATTTTAATACTTTTATCTAATTTTATAGATATATAATTTCTGTGATTAAATTTTTTTTTAAATTTGCAAAAAAAAGTTAAGAACAAAATTACTTATAAATTATTGACTTGAATTAAATAAGCCCGATGCATTGAATAACAATGGTATAACCTTTTCTTCAAAAAGCCAACAACTCTATCATCGTCTGACGTTGGCCGATATAGCATAATTCGTTTGTTATTGTCATTTTCGTTAGTGTAATTAGTGTCATGAATGTTGTTGTAGTTGATGTTATTGATGTTACTGATGTTTTTATTGCTCTTGATGTTATCTAGTGTTGGTTTCCAGTTGAGTTTCCTTCTCTTTACGAGAGCCCTACAATTTTTCAAATTGTTAAGGAATGTTTTAATTGAAAATAATTAGGATGCACGCACACATACACGTAGACACACACACACACACCACACACATACACACACACACACCTACATACACTAAACACACTCACACACAAACACGTGCACACTCACACACGCACATACGTGTGGACACACACATACGTATATACATATATATATATACATATGACGTCAAATAAATTTTTAATTTACCCCTTACATTTGTTTTGGTCTTGTGCAGCCCACCAACGCTAAATTACCTGAATACCAGGTTGTTTGATGTTTGTCATCACCATCATCATCATTATCATCATCAACGACATCATCATCATCATTACCAACAACAACATCATCATTATCATTATCTTCATCATCATCCTCTTCAAATTTTTCACTGTTCCCATTGATATCTAAATTCGGTTCAAATTAATTGTGAATGAATGAGTGAATGAATGAGTGAATGAATGAATGAATGAATGAAAGAATGAATGAATGAGTGAATGAATGAATGATTGAATGAATGAATGAATGAATGAATGAATGAAAGAACGATTGAATGAAAGAACGATTGAATGAATGTGTGATGGCTCATGCGTGTGTGTGTATAGAGTAAAGATGCTTTCATTGATATGTAAATTTTTTTTTATTGCAGATGTTTCACTGTATCTTGAATTTATATAATTTGTATTTTATTTATTTATTTATTTAATTAATTAATTAATTTATTTATTTATTGTTAATTATTACACCTTACTTGCTGATAATTTCTCCCTTTCTTCAATACACTCATTCAACTTTCCTTTTAAATAAAATTTATTTTTTTTTCAATTAGAATTAATTAATTAATATATTAAAAAATAATGTTCCTTTACAATTTGTAATTTTTAAAATGTTTAAAAATAATATTCTTTCATAATTTATAAATTCAATTACTTTATAAAAAATTTTTTTATAAATCCCAAAAAATTCCAACTTAATCTTTTCTTTTCGTAGTCCTCATACATTTCAACTGTGCCGAATTCTCTAAACATTTTCGTCAATAACTCTATTGGCTGTCATGGTGACGATGATGATGATGGCGGCGATGATGACGACAGCAATAGTAACGATAATGATCATGAGGTTATCACTCTGCCAGACATCTTAACCGTTACACCATCACTCGGTCAACTATCATCTTCATCATCCTCATCATCTTCATCATCTTCATCATCCTCATCATCCTGAAATGAAATTTTTCTAACTCTGATCTCGAGATTAGCACAGGCTTGAAGTGATCTAGGACTGGTTAGGACGTACTGGCAGTCATCGTATTCTTCGTCATTCAAATTTAGCAGGTTTATATTTTTCAAATTAGTATCGCTACAATATTTTTTAGGCATCGTATAACGCCGCAATAAATAAATCAATTAAATGGTTTATTTGGTTAATTTATTTATTTATTCATCAATAATTTAAATAATTTATTTTAAAAATTAAAAAAAAAAGTCCACGAAAATACAAAACAAATTGAATTGATAATCTTCTAAAGGTATGCATGTTGGCTGTAGTGTACGTACACTGGTGATTAACAATATTTTCTAATACCAACTCTCTCTCTCTCTCTCTCTCTCTCTCTCTCTCTCTCTCTTTCTCTCTATTCTATATATATATATATATATATATATATATATATTACATGAGTATTTCATGTAATGTATATATACACACATATATATACACACATATTTAAATGGTCGTTTCCATGGCTTCGAATTATGATGATTATATGTACACAAATCTGACGTACACACGCTGAATTTGTGCATGATGTATACTATGCATGCACAAATGAATTATGTAAGCAGGGATTAAACGAATGAATGAATTTGCATAGATGAATGAATGAATGAATGAAAGAATGAATGAAAGAATGAATGAAAGAATGAATGAAAGAATGAATGAAAGAATGAATGAAAGAATGAATGAAAGAATGAATGAAAGAATGAATGAATAGACGAATTAATGATGAAAGACTCGTGGGGCTAGCCAATAATTATATCATAGAAAGTTATATAAAGATATTATATGAAGATATAGAAAGTTGTTGGACAGATTGACAATATGTTGTTCAACTGTTGTTCTGCATATGTAGCTAGCTGCCTTCACATCATGCTTGTCATAGTCACACACAGCCGAACAACGTCTTTATCTTAGTCATTTCTGGCAAGTTCAAACAGGCTTTTATCATGAGTTCTATGATGAAGAATGTCGCACTGTTAAAGAATTTGTTGTCATCGCAAGAGAGAATATGATTATGAGATAAAAAGTTCAAATTGCTGCTACAAATATGTGACATATCCATCGCTTCTCTGTCTAAAAATATCTGGTCATTAACCTGAACGATTACTTTATACTAAACAATTTATTTTCATTATATTTCTTCATGTGATTCAGTAAAAACGTTTAATACATTTAAATTCTTTAAAGTATTCTTTTCGTGATGGTAATATGATTAAGTCAACGTTTAAATGTATTGGTGAATTAAAATAGAGGAAATTTTTTAAATTTTAAAATTATTATACTGACTCAAAAATAAATATTTAAGCGAACAAACAATGTACACGCTCAAGCATTATTTCTGTAAACGAAAAACATTTTAAATTAAATCTTGAAGAGATAAATACAAAACATGAAAATGAATCGCACAAAATGAACTGTACTTCGTTTATTTAATATTGAAAATATCATTACAAATAATAATAATAACAAGTAATAATAGTAATTAGTAATAATAATAGTAATAATAATAGCAGTAATCGTTATAAACAAACAAAATAAAAAGTCAACAGATAACTTTAGAGAAGCAAATGTTTAAAAATTTTATTCTATATTCGTATAATCATTCTTTGAATTCTAGAAAATGCTGCAACTTCTGTACATGCTCGTAAGGCAGGTCGAGATTCCTGTGAAATAAGATTAAATAATTTATAATGATAACTAAAGAGTAGTTAATTAGTTATCAATCAATCAATCAATCAATCAATCAATCAATCAATCAATCAATCAATCAATCAATCAATCAATCAATCAATCAATCAATCAATCAATCAATCAATCAATCAATCAACCAATTAACCAATCAATCAATCAATCAATCGATCAATCAATCAGTCAATCAATTAACAAAATGATATCTTATTATAACCATCATTTAACACCACATCATATCATAACATTAAAACTTAACCACAAATAAACAAACATCAAAACCACCATCATCACTATCATCATATTCATCTCCATCGTCATCCTTATTCTCTTCCTTATCATCGTCATCTTCATCTTTCTCATCTTCATCGCCACCAGCCTTATTGCCGCCAGCTTCATCATCTTCACCATCTCCATAATCATCATCTTCACTATCATTGTCATCATCTCCATAATCATCATTTTCACCATCATCTCCATAATCATCATCTTCACCATCACCATCCTCATCACAATCACCATCAGAACCCACTTAACACAGTCAGGAAAGCTACAGACTACCCTGTAGACTGCAGCCTTGGTCTCATTCCTAAGATGCCTCCTCATCCTACACTCCCCAGCGATCACTTGCCTCTGCAGCCAAAACGATCTCAGAAATGACGACGACGACGACGATGACGTAGATAGCGCCGGCAATTGTATCGGTCTACTCAGTGCCTGGTTGGTTATGGTTATAACAAATTTGTTTTTTTGGTAACATTTTCTTAGCTTGATGATTTTTAACAGTGAAAAAAAGGAAAATCATATAGCATAGATAATGAATTATAATAATTATTATTATTACATGTTTGTAACATTTAACAGACAAAAAAATAAAAAAAAACAGACAGGCAGGACAACAGACAGTCAGGTAAAAGAACAGACAGTCAGACAGAGACGGATAGACGAACAGACAGACAGGCAAACCTCGTGTAGAACCAACAGTTTGTTGAGAATGTTGGCTAATGAACCTTGCACAACTCCAAACTCATCCTCTTTGTATGAATGAGATGCTAACATTGAAAGACCTGAATTTGTTTATTTATTCATTTATCTATTTACTATGGGATAATTAGATAATAATATTAATAAAATTAATATTTCTATTATTAATACAATTAGTATTACGGATTCACGTGCACTGTTTGTGCATGTGCGTTGAGAATTAGTAAAAAAGCAGTATATTTATTAGAACTATATACTATTATAGTATTTATTAGAAGTATTAGTAGTAGTAAGTAGTAAGAGTAGCAGCGGCAGCAGTAGTAGCAGCAGCAGTAGTAGCAGCAGCAGCAGTAGTAGCAGCAGCAGCAGTAGTAATAGCAGTAGTAGTAGCACCAACTTTGTACTATCCAAATATATTTTTGAGATTCTTGAAACAGCAGTAGGTTCTTCAGTTCGACTGACTCATTGAAGAAGTATCTAACCAGCCAGATGTCACTCAGATAGTTTAATAACTGTCGAAATTGAGAATAGAATAATTTTCTTATAATTTAGTCAGTTATAATATAATTATTAATATATTATTTTAGTATTAAATTCTTTTTTTGTTAAATATTCATTAATTAATAAATATAAAAATTTAAATTCTCTAACAAAAACTAACATTACTTGCCTTATCCAATCTAAATTATAGACAAAAAACAAACAAAAACAAGCAGACATTAAAGACAAACTGACAAAACGACAAAAAACAAACTAACAAAAAATTTCCAACCTTAAGACAGAGCACATCTAAGATGGCGACAATTCTCATCCTAATCGCACTGAAAACAATTTCTGCATAGCTACCAACGTAATGATACGAGCCGGATACAGTATCATTCTTTGGATACATCTGAGGATGTATGTAATTTTCACTGGCGTTTCTTAGCCTGGGACCACTACTGCCACCAAATGATTGATTGACATTCATTGTGTTGTTGTTGTTATAAACTTTGTTGTTAATAATGACGTTGTTGTTGTTGTTGTTTATGAAACTATTGCTGTTGTCAATGCAGATGTTGTTGACGATGCTGTTGTTGAAGGGAGATGTGACGTTGTTGCTGCTGCTGTATAATCTTGTTGGCGTCATAGACGATTTCAGAGAGGTGAAACATTTTGGAGGCGTCTGTGGCTGCTGCTGTGGTTGCTGTTGTAAAAAGTTACTCGATGTTCCTGGGCAGAATCAGTGAAACAAGCCAGTTAAAATTTAAATGATTTATAAAATAATTTAGAACTTCATAGGAGCAGGACGCATAACAATGAAGTCACAACCCTAAAATGGTTATTCTGATTTATAAAAACACACAATTACTAAAATCCAAACACCTCTCACCCTAACAACAAACCAATAAAAATAACATTTCCAAGAGACAACTAACACAACAAACAAACAACAAAACATGAATAAAAAAATGAGAAAAATTTATAAAACTAACCTAGCCCAGCCCCACTACAACCGCTATTAGATGCTCCAAAATTCGATTTCTGCTGCTTCAAACCCAGCAAGACAGATCCGGCCATATTGCTGGCCACAATTTCATCGAGATGTCCGTTGATTTTAGATGAAAAAACTTCCAGTTCTTTCAAAATTTCATCCGTGATAGACTGCCAGTATATCGGGTGGAAGCCTGGCGTCGAGAGGCTGAACAGTTCGTGTCTACGAGACTTGCTGAATTCCGACAGCATTCGGAGGTCGAGAAGGGCTAGGTACTGAAGTTCAAAGGTCAATGTAGTAATTGGGAGCTATTATTAAAAGCACGTGAATTATCGACAGTTTTTTGAAAAAGTTGCAAAAAAATCTAATTTCATTTTTCTTTTTTTTTAAATTATTATTTTGTTGAATATCAAAAGATTTAAGTCTTTTCAAAATTGTTGATTTATCAGACATATATCCGTGTTAGTTTTTAAGATTCAATAAATAAAATTGAATAATAATATAAATAATAATAATGAATAATAATACTTAAAGATAATTATAACCTGAATTAATTTCTTCTGCTTAAATTTCAACGCAGTGGACAGGCACCTGAGATCATCTGCTGCTAATTTTGGAATAATCGGAAATTCCAAGGGCTAAAAATAAAAATAATAAGAACCAACAATAAAAACAGCAACAGCAAACTGGTGATAAGAATAATAAAAAACATAATAATAATAACAACAATAGAAACCCTTTTAATATTCTTCTTTCCAAAGAAATCAATAATAAAATCAATCATAAAGCGAAAGTATTTTTATGGCAAAGTAAAATAAAGTAAATATGATAAAGTAAAATAGAATAAAACTTAATAATAATAATAATCACAATAATAATAATAAGGCCAGAGACGGACCTCAGTCACAAATACAGAATGTACATGAAGAGGGACAGATAGTATTAGATGGATGGAAACGATGTACACGTAATGGAAGATGATCTCGTGAATGTTCCACATGCTACGATTTTTTTCATAGATTCTGAAAATCATAATAATTATTATTATCATAATAATTCTTATTATCATAATAATTATTATAATAATAATAATTATTATTATCATAATTATCATCATAATAATTATCACTATTCTTACGATTAACGAATTGATCAGGATGCAGATATTGAACATCACCGCGTTGTCATCACATATAATTATAGAGTCATAAAAATTATTGTTATCGTCATAATTATTATCATTATAATTATCGTCATTATTGAAAATAATTATTATTATTATGATCACCAATCACCATCCCAAAAAACTTACTCAAAATCACTTTTTGAAACGAAGCCGTCGAACGAGTGCATCGCAAACGGCTCTTAACGGAATAACATTTTTTAAATTATAGAAATAATAACAATAATTATTATTATAATTATAATTATTATTATATTAAATTATGTTATTATTACTATTACTGACCTAACACAAAATGATTGATAGGATGCAGAACCAACAGCCAAGTCAGTGAGGAGTGCAGAGTCTGAGAGAGTAACTCTTTCAATGATATCTTCAATTTCAGAATCTTTGGTAACTTTTTAAATTAATAAATAGTCTTTGGTAACTTCCTCTATATCAGATATTATCGAATAAACAAACATGGACGTGGTATAGTGATAGCGAAAAAGTAAACGGGTTATTCAGTAAATTGAATTATTATAAATAATTATAAAAATATATAGAATCATTACTGTATTAACATACCTGTAAAATTGAGAATTGTAAATAAAATGAACCACTGCTGATGTGCTTGATGAAAACTAATAAACCCAAAATAATGGTCAGGCCAAACTTTCTGCTTATACTGTGAAAAAAAAAAAAGTTAAAAATAAATAGTTACGACAATGAGAAGATTAAAAACAAAAACACACGCACACATACATATACACCTGAAAAATAAATACACCAGAGACAACCACTCAGAAATCCAAAATCCCAAAAAATAACTAACCAAAAATGAACCCAATCATCTGGATCCTTCTTTTTCTCTTCTGCACCACCATCACCATCCCGATCAACATCAGCACTGTCTACTTGGTAATAATGAGAGACATTTCTAAGCATCTGAACCAGAAAGCAGAGGGAGAGCAAAGACATTAGACAGTATATGCCAATGTGGATGACATTCATTGGCTGTAGTAAGTGGAGGATTAGATCCAATCTTTTAGTGTGCAAACAAGATGTCACTATAGACGTGTAAAAATGTGGATATTCGTGTGTGTGTGTGTGCGTGCGTGGTTGTGTGTGTGTGCGAAGTTGTGTGTGTGCTTGTGTGTGTAAGTGAACTATTTTTGTGTAAATTAAGAGATTCTGTGAAAAAATTTCTGTTATTAATGACTCAAGGACTTTACTTTTTTTTTCCTAAAAAAGAACATTTTTCAGCTAAAACTATATCAAAACAAACGCAGCATGATAAATGTTTACATAAAAAACAATAAAATCATTAGCAAACTATTTTATTAAAAAATTCTATTAGGTAAAAGTGAAATTAAACCTGAGAATTTTCTTTCATTGAAGAGAATCAACACAACAACACAGATGACTAAGACAAATTCAAAAAGCCATACCTTCAACTGAAACATTGAATATAATATGCCTGCAAAAAAGAATAAAAGTCATTATTTATAATTTTATTTTACAAAGAATTAGAAACCTATTCAAAGACTATATGAATCCCATTTCTAAACTTTTTTAAATGTTAAAACTTGAATGTGAAACATTTAAAATCTAAATTAAAAACACATAAACTAGCATATGCACACATGTGTAGATAAATAGTAAATAGAAAAAAGTCAATGATACTGAATGAAAATAAAATGAAAAAAAAATTAACTAATAAAATATAACATGAGATTAGATAGAAATTTAATTGGAACCATTAAAGTACCTTGTGACCAAATAAGAAGAGAGAGTGGATTACATGATGCTAATGCTGCTGATGCCATTAAAATGAACAAGGATGAGATGGCTGACAGAACTACAACCTTCAACAATCTCCATCTAAAATACTGTGACAAAAATTAGGCAAAAATTCATTTGGCAATTTAATTGATTAATAACATGAGAATTAGCATAAATAATGTTTATTTTTATGAAACCATAGATTTACTTGCCCAACAAATAATTTATTCATTATTGGCTACTTCATTACTTTGTTTTTTAATTAAAATTTAGACAAAAATCATCATTTGCAATGTTCATTTGTAATTCAAATTTCCAGAAAAAAAAATTATTAGCCTATTTAATTTTTTGTAACAATTTGTTATAATTATGTAACTATAATATAACTGCACACTACTTTCAACAGGCTACAAACTAACAGGCTACAAACTACCTATGTGAAAAGGAAAATATATGATAAAGATTTTTGTCCATTACAAAAATTACATCATAAAAAGTAAAAACAAAAGAAGTTAAATATGATTTGATTTTTGATGTGATGGGTTCTTCAAAATCAAATCAAACCAAGGCTTTTGTACTCATTTTCGATTTTATAATATATGTATACAAATTAATAACAATGAAAATAATAGCATTGTTTTTTATTAATTTATTAATTTAATTTAGTATTTAAAATTCTTCTTCATAAATTTATAAAATAACACAAGTCCAGAGAAAATCAATTCATGATTCATAACTCATCATTTACAGAGCTCCCATTATTAAAATTAATTAAAATTGTCATGGAAAAATTATTTTAGATTGTTGAATTAAATTTTAATCTTTTATTTCTGAACAAACAAGAAAAAACTGAAAAATGATTACGACGACGAGACTACGGATTAAATTAAGAGAATCTTTATAATCAATAACCTCGTTAATGTAATAAATTAATAAATTTTGTCGTCCTTTCATCTTTAATTAATATTTTTTCCAATTCAGCGATAATTATCTCGCGAAATGAGCCAAATAAATATTTTAAAAGTTCTCTTTTACCGCCCAAAGAAAAAAAGTGACAAAATGTAATGGACTCATTTCTTTGGACCTATTTGATTGACAACTTTTGAATGCATCACAATTCAGTAAATTAATTGATGTTCAAAACAGAAACAGGTAAACGTTTTAATTTGTTTGTTCAGTCAGTTACCGAATTAATCCATTTATCCAATTTTTCATTTATTATTCGTTCATGCGTTCAGGCAATTTATTTATCATTTCATTCATTCATTTATTCGTTCGTTCGTCTGTCTGTTTGTTCGTTCGTTCGTTGGATCGATCGGTTCCTCATAAATTATTCAATTCCTTCATTTATTTTGACAATGTTCAACAATGACATCACCTACATTATATATAACGGGTGAAAGAACCGTGTATATTAAATATTTCCAAATCTATCGATTAGTGAGGTTCACAATTTATACTTCAATTTTACAAAACTCCACCTTAGTCACAGTTTCAATTATAACCAACATCTCCGTTATTATATTTTAAAAAATTTGTATCAACTTTTTAATGGTAATTATTATTTATTATTGATAATTGAGCAATATATTTTAGAATTTTTCCGAAAAGTTTTATTCAGAATTTGAGAATAAAGTGAAAACCGGCACCAACGCAAACTTCATGAATAATAAATGTTGTTGCCGATGTTAAGTAGGTACTCTACCTTTTTATTTTTAACAATTCAATTTAGTTAAATTTTAAAATTGGAAGATGACATTAGATATCAATAAGTATAAAACCAATTCTTTCGTTCTTTCATTTTGTAACAAAACTACTGAAATTTTCAGAAAGATTGTAACTTCAGAATGAATATGTAACAATTTTTGTTGAAAATTCTGTTATTCATCATTATTCTTCTGAAGAATATTCTCTCGATTGACACGGCATTTACGAAGTTTTCGTACAAGTGGAAGAAGTATGGGAGCCATGCCTGTGTTAGTAATGCTCCAGACGAAGTTTTCGTATTTCAGAAAAATAATTCTCAAATGAAATGTGCTTTCGAATGTCTGAACTTGGACAAGTGCATCGGGTTCAACTACCACTTAGACAACAACACCTACCAGGTATACAAGAACAGATTGAACATCAGCGTTGGAATATGGAGAGTGGAAAAGATGCTCATTCTTTCAGGTTTCAACTTTTCAGTTTCTCGTAAAACTAAAATATTTTATGTTGTGATTTTAAGCAGATAACCTTATATTTTTAAGCGTAACGCAAATGTTTCCAAGCAGTTTTGGATCAGCGGCGTAGTAAATGTTCGCACCCCTGCAAATTAAAAAAATTATTTCTGACACTTTTTAAATAGAACCCAACCAAGTTGTCAAAAGTTTTATATGCTTCAATATAGAAATTTAGTTGAAAGTGCCACTCGGTACATTTTTGGCCAAGCAAAATATGAAATAAGATGATTTTAAAAGAAAAATGGTAAGAATGTTACCGTGTTGAAGTTTTTTAAGGTTTCTATCTCATTATTTTAATAAGTGTTAAAGTTTGAACAGTAAACAGTTAAGCATTTAATTTTAACAAGTTCACGCTAATATAATATTCCATATTTTTTCGTTTTTACAGAACAACATGTACAACAACGATGTGAATGTTACCAGTAAGAAGAACTAGTTATTACATTAACTTATGTTGCTAAAAATACGGAAGAAATACGGTTGCTCAGTACCTTGCTCTGCTTCTCCATCAACAATCTGTGGTGCCAACAGCCGAAATAGTGTTTAAAAGGGTAGTTTTAATTTATTCAATTGTAAATAATTTGCGCATATAGTGGATAAAAACTTTGAAATTTGTAATGCATTTAGAAAGAATTTCTATTCAATTTTTAAAGTGTAAGAAACATCAAAGAAAATATCCTAACAGATTGGAGTGTTTTTCAAGTAATTTCAGTTAAAATCTTTATCGGAATATATGAACAAATTAAATGAAAATTACATTTTTAATATGTTAGATTTACTAGAATGAACAATGTGCTATCAATAACGTTTGCCATTTTTTAAATTATCAAAATGTATTTAATTGTTCAGCATCTGTGTCACAAATCGCTATTCGCGTTATCGATCATAGATATATAACGATACGAGAATAACGATACGAGAATGCATACGAAAATGTTTTTGAAAAGTCCTATATCGATATAAGAAATACAGGACAAAAATTTTGCCCCGTAACTTTGTTGTAAAGTCAAGAAAAGATATATTTGCGAAAAGGTTTTAAAAGACAGAAAAAAATGGTATTCTTGCTCTCTAAATTAAAAATCTATTATGTCTACTTTATTGCGACAATTTTAAAATTGAATATGACAATTATGTGTGATTTCAAAGGAACCATTAAGGGCAGTTTTCAGACGTTTATATCTCACATCAAAAATTGCTGATGGTCCCAATTTATTTTATCATTTTTGGTGAAATCTCGTATCGTTTTGTACCGCCCAGATGCTTATTTTCAGCTATGTATTTGGTGCTTTTATATTTCGCACTTTTAAAAGGTATCTACACTTTATTAATATTTTACTTAATTAAATAACTGTAAACTTGTTACAAGATTTGACAGATTTGTCACAATGTTTATGATGATGCACACAAATGTAGAGTTTATTAACCCTGCGATGACGGCGATTTTTTTCATCCACTGAAGACGAATGGGGTAGATTTCTACCCCAAGGTTAAATCTGATGATAACAACAAATAATGATGACACAAAATAAATTTTATCATGCAAATAAAACACGTTTGGTGAATAACAACAATTTTAATGAACAAAACAATATAATAATTTGTTTTTATTGTTACAAAAAATTTATTTAATTTTTTAACACAAAAAGTGAATGTAATTTGTTCAATTTGTAGAACAATTCCTACATATCATAAAAACATGATCTCTACATGTTGGTTTGTTGCACTTTGAACATTTTAGTGCTGTTTTCTTATCCTTTATTCTAGGAAAAGCATGACATCTGCCGGATTTGCTGAGTATAGCAGGAATCTTTGTCTCTACCAAGTCATCCTTGTGGCCAAAGTTAATCATACTCTGTGAAAAAAATTAAATAATTTTAATATTGCAAATATATCAGACTTGTCTTAAAAATTTACTTCTCCAAGTTCCAGCAGAAATAATCTTCTTTTATGTGATTTGTTAACATTCCAGTCAGGATTCAACAAAATCCATACTATATAGGCATTTAAAGCACTTATGTCTAACATATTACTGAAAACTGCCATTGGCCATCTTCTAGTCATTCTTTTAGTTGTGTACAGCCTTAACATTTGATCTGATGTGTCAACTCCACCTTTGGTTGAATTATAATCTAAAATCATAATTGGCTTTTTTGTACTGGATGTGTTGTCTAGGTCACATTGTGTATGCATACTGCTCATCAAAGTTACAACTTTTCCTTTTTTTGGACAATATGACACTAGAGTTGCATCATTATGGAAAGCAAACATAGAAGATAAAACATCTCTGCTTTTTGGGGTAATGAATTCAACTGGAAGTTCTTTTTTACTTTTTCTTACTGTCCCTAATAAAGTAAGCTTTTCTTTTTTCAACATCTGGATAAGAGACAAACTTGTGAAAAAGTTTC